TACATTACTGCTCCACAGTAATTGATTTTTTGCGGGAATGGTCTTCAGAATGAAGTTCATGATGGAAGATTGCTATAGTACAAATAGTCCTCGATTTGCAACCACAATTGAGCCCAAAATTTCTGTTGCTAAGACAGTTATTATGTAAATTTTGTTCCATTTTACAACTTTTATTGCCACAGTTATTAAGTGAATCAGTGCAGTTGATAAGTTAGTAACATGGTTAAGTGAATCTGGTTTCCCCATTGACTTTGCTTGTCAGAAGGTCGCAAAAGATGATCACATGACCCCGGGATGTTGCAATCGTCATAAATATGAGCATCTGAATTTTGATTATGTGACCATGGGAATGCTGCAACAGTCATGTGAAAACACATCATAAGTCACTTTTTTCAGTGCTGTTATAACTTGGAACGATCACTAAATTAATTGTAAGTTGAGGACTACCTGTAATTGTGGATTGGTAGTTATTCTTTTTTTATCCTTGGATGTTAAAATATTATTTTACTAATCACTGCATTATTCTGATGTGACATGAAGTGGCTGATCAATGCATGACAAACATCTTGCTCAAATTAAAGTTATAAAAGTACATGTATCACGGAAGCTATCCTTCATTACTCTTCCTCTTTGTTCTTATTATAATTTTATAGTGCATTCAATAGCATTATATAAGCTTCCTATAATTCCCACTATTTATTTTGCAATATTTTTTCATTTTCTCAGTTTTGAAGAGGCCAGTTACAAGCCATTGGTTTCTTCAGAATAATGTTTGCACTTCAATTAAAATGACCAGAGTACATCACAAATTACCATAATAGTGTTTACTTGTTAGGAGCCAAATGTAACTTGATGGCACATATTCAATCAATTTATCAATTAAGGGATTGATTGATTGAAGAAAATATTCTACAACTTGTTTGAATAAAGTAGTACCAAAAAAGAGCAGATTACAACATTTAAGAAATAAAACGTACCTCTTTATTTACAAATAGAGACGCTAACATCACAACAGTACTTTACAGTAGCTACAAAGCAATTATTTTTCAGGTTATGTACAAACTACAATAGTAACAAAAATAATAATAGAAAACTGAAAAATAAAACAAAGCACTCTAAACTGTAGAAAACTGCAGATCTGATTTGAATTCACAATACCACATAAACAATACAACAGTCATTATCCAACCAGCTTTTCTATTATTCTTATAAGCACTGGAAAGCTCTGTAGATGACCAGATTATATAAAGGAAAGTTGCATAAAATTGTAGAAGTGAGGATGGCATAAATAATAATATACAAAATGTGAGATTTCAACCCAGGTTATATTTAGAAGAAACATACCACAGGACATTATGCAGAAAACAAAACAATTAAACTAAAAGGCATTTTTAAAACACCTTTATCCATTCTACAGATAGATCTAAGTATGTAAATCACCTGTATATCCTTTAGTTATACTTTGAAGACATCACTGTCTTTAAATCTCTTGAATGAAAGGCCTGTTTTCTAAAATAGACCCAGGATCAACATTCACACCCTCAAATTGTTTTCAGAGAACATGAACAAAATGAATCCATTTAATGTAAGTCCAGGTTTTCCATTTTTATACACTTCCTCTACAGAGTCTAGGGAATTTTGTTCTCCCTAGAACCCTAAAGGGTTTGGGAAACAAGCATTTCTGGATGTGGTTAAAACATGCTGAGAAGAAACAAGAGTCCCTCGTGTTTTTGCTCTGTCTACATAACTATTTTATATGCTCCTTTTCTCCCTTGGAAAAATAGTTCTTGTTCTTATACATCATAGACATTTGGATTTCAGCAACCCATTTGACAACTAGATCAATTTACAATATATCATAGCTGTGGGATAGTAAGCTAAGCACTAACTGCATTTACAATTCAAGATGGTTGAGAAATAAACAACAAGGCTCAGAGTAATTTGCTTTAGCCAGTCACGATGCAATAGCCTGTTGCAGGAATTCAATGAGATTCCAGCATTAAGCCACATAACATAAAGTAACCCAGGATTCAATGCACATGCTTCTTATCTTGTTCCATACTTTGTCCTTTAAGGAACTCTAAGAAGATTATGGGCAAAAAACAGCTCTTTCCCATCAGATTTTATACAAATCTTTCCTTGTCCGTTTACTATTAATAAAAAGAAATGACTAGGGACAAAATGTTCCTCTTCCATAATTTGCATAAATTGTTCCCTGGAGATGCAGGCCGTTCAGTCATATTTTTTTCCCACATGAAGGCAGTCCATTATCTGACTTAACATTTGTCCTTATTCCACATAATGACGCCAAAGTAAGAAAAAAGACGGAGTGAGGAGGGAAGCTTTCATAACAACTCCGAAATTCCACCACCTGCTAAAAATCAAAACCAAAAGAAAAGAAAACTCAAGTATTACTGATATTCCCAACAGAATTCAGATAGTTTGCAGAAAATATAAACACTACAAAAATCATCCACACCTGGTGTAGAAGTAAAGGGAGGTTCTTCCTCAACATTTAACACGCTTCCTGTTTTTAGCTTTTTCAAACTGTTGCAAAAAGTAAATAAATTTCAGAAAAACTCAGGACTTCCTCTCACTATTACCCTGTCAGAGTACTCTCTGTAGTAAGGAAAGTGAGGATCAGAACCTCAGATGACAGAGGCAGGAGCAATATGGCAATCTTATCTCAAGATCAGTTTATTAATTAAGCTCTACACAGGGAAGGCAGTTCTTGTTTGTATGACAAGGAAGCATTATTCTTTCCCATGAGATTCAATTTGCCAGGACGTGTTCACAATTTCAAAAATAGTTCACACAATTATGGCCTCATAAACTAATTTATAATTGTACAGAGCAGGCTTGCATAACATATGGCATGCAGGTCACATGTGGCACAGCAAAAAGTCTATGTGGACCACTGGTATTTTTTAAAGTTAACTCTGCCAACCACTAAACAGTTGAAAAGTACACCAGATATTCTTTTGCAATTATTTCTAATTTATGAATGTGGCTCTTTTTCCTCTACATTTAATATGGGTCTGGCAGAGAGCCAACCCATTTCTACTGTATTTTCCTAAATCATGACCGCTGTATCTTAAAATCAGGTTGTGGAGGTTGGAATGAACTATAGCTAGAGTATTGAGGAGCCAGCCATTAATTTAGCCTCCCCAACCAGGCATTAATTTGGCCTCCCCAACCTGGTTATTATAAAATAGTGGATCTCCCATGATCCACAGCCAATTTTGGACAAGCTGATAAAAAAAAGTGGAAAGTACCAAGTACTAGATAATGAAGCATGAACCTAGCGGAACTGGCACATTACTAAGACATTGCTGGGCAAGGGCAACGATGTAGTCTTTTTGGAGATCTGCCTGGCCACTTATCAGGTCCCTAAATATCCTCCCAGGATGACTTTGATGATGAGAAATACTTTATCTAAAACCAGGAAACGCACCCTGAAGACACTGGGATGAAGGTCCTGCTGATTTATTGACTATCCTGCTGCTTCACCAGATCTTTCTCCAACCTTCTGGAGCTGATCTCTGAGCTGGTGGTGGAAAAACCCTGCCTGCTCATTGGGGCTGGCTTCAATGAAACTCAGGGATTAATAGGTCCCGCAGAAACCATTAGAAAAGTGCCCTTTAATGTCATTTAATTGCACTTTTATTTCTACATAGGAACAGGATAGCTTTTATACAGACACCCACATATATACACACACACACAAATAAAAAGCTTCTGATTATTTCTGAACAAGTGTTGAACAGTTAAAAAACTAAAATTAGCTCTCAGGAAAAAAAATATGGAAACAAGTTTATGACTTGGAAAGCTGCCAAGCTTCCAAATCCTCTTTTGTAAGCAACAATTCAGGGGATAATATCATCATAAAAGCAACAAAACAGGAGCAGAGCAGGAAGGACAATGAGCAAGCTGGGTAACAATGGGCCAGCAATGAGGAAAAGAAGGTTCTAGAAATTATAAAATTCGCAGCAAGAGCTACTGAGCTTCAAGGACATACAAAATATTTTAGGCTGAGTTACCTTTGAATATCAACTTAACAGCTATTACAAAAAAAATGTCAAAATCACTTAATGTTTCACCTATACCCATTTCTTTTAGCACTGAGCCTTATCGAGCAATGGAGCAGAAAATAGTCTTGTCATCTGTATATAGATTGGAAGGATGAAAATGGTTTTACTCAGTCTGAAAGGCAAAGCAAGTGAGTACAGGTAGCCCTCGACTTACAGCAGTTCATTTAGTGACCATGCAAAATTACAACGGCACTGAAAAAAGTGATTTGTGACCATTTTTCACACTTACAACCATTGCAGCATCTCCATGGTTGTGTGATCAAAATTCAGACGCTTGGCAACTGACGCGCATTTATGGCGGCTGCAGCGTCCCGGGGTCATGTGATCATTTTTTGTGATCTTCCGACAAGCCAAGTCAATGGGGAAGCCAGACTTGTTTAACAACCGTGTTACTAACTTAACAACTGCATTGATTCACTGTGGCAAGAAAGGTCGTAAAATGGGGCAAAAGTCGCTTAACAAATGTTTTGCTTAGCAACGGAAATTTTGGGCTCAACTGTGGACGTAGATCGAGGACAACCTGTACAGAATTCTAAAAAATTCAATGTAATAGAATCAATTTGCAACCCTGCCCCTTTGTCAATTAATATCACTGAACTTGAGGAAAGCAAACATCTTAGCACTGAGATTCTCTGCTAGTAGCACAGTAGCAGAAAGATGATTTTTCTCCCTAAGAGTTTAGAGTGGAACATTAAGGTTTTCCACAGGGATAATGGGTTGCTCCTCCCAATTGCTCCAGGATTTCTAGGAGTATTTCGAGCAATCCCCAGCACAAGGAAAAGTATTTCCTCCCTCCCAGTAATAACACTGAAAAGCGACAGGAACTTCAAAGCAAATTTTAGGGGGAAAAGTCAGACAGAATTCATTGTCTCATCAAGGAAGGATAGGTGTCTTCTACCCATAAAAAAGATCCTTCATGGCAAATCCAATGCTCTACTTTTCAACACTGAGAAGAAAACCTTCAAAATTGGGACATACAAAAATAATTGCTAAGAGGATGTGATATATTGTTCTATGAGAACAAAGGAAATAATAAAAGCCCATGTAGTAACTTTATATAGAGAGAGTCACGGGGGGGGGGGGAAGCAAACTGGCTACATTTGTCACAAAAATGAGCTAGGTATGGAAAACCTATCAGATGATCTGCTAAAGGCAGATTAAATAATTGAAAACAAAAATAAACAAACAAAAATACTGTTTCTCTGGTGAGCAGAGGCTGGGCAGAGACACGCACTGGAAAAAGATATAGATTCATTCAAATTTTAAGTCTTTCACTTTAAATACATTAGAAAAACAATAATATTCAAGGATTTATTTTTAGAAACTCCCTATAATATATTTCCAAAAGTCCAGCACACAAGAAATATACATACTGATTCTTCTTTTGCAGGGCTTGAATACAAGCCAGGGCATTATGGCTACCCCAAAACAATTTTCAAATATAAACCCTAAGAAATAGTAATCTCAATGTTCACTTAAAAAAATTAACACAATCTGTTCATATCACTTAAATATATCCTTTCAAGGGGACTTGGTAGTGCTAAATGATTTCTTTGTAGGAAACACATCTGTTTTCAGTTTCAAAAGAACTCATGCCTTCAATCGGGTCCTTAAATCTGCAACATGAACGAGGTCCAGATATTAATCTCCCTGAACACAAAATGTATCCATTTGGGACAATAAAGTCTTTCTTCTATCCTTGCACACAGCTCTACCAACGAATGAAAACATTATAAACGGGAGAGATTGTGAGTCAGTCTAGGATTTACAAAGCTAGAGCTACTGTTTCCCAATTCATATGTAAATTTGCAGAATCTGCCAAGTTATACCATAGCAGAACACAAAACTGCTGACATAAGGTCAACCTACGGCTATGAAAAAAGCATGCTTAGACCACTCCTTGTAACTGTGAAGGATTCACATTTTTTCAACCGAGAAAAATCAGCCTGCGAAACAGCCTAGCCGCAATAAATATGGAATATCATGGAATCTCCTAATTCCCTTTCTTCCTACCAAAGTACAAAGAATTTGGGGCATTTGCATCCATAAGCAAAAGGCTGGTGCCACTAAAAGCAATGGCAGTATGTTGCTTCTAGCAAGGCCAGAGCAACAATAATTAAAACGGTGAGAAAGGAGAAGTAGAAAAAAAAGTGTTATCTACATTATACTCGTTTATGCAACCATCTTTTCTGGTTTGAACTAGTAAAACATCCTCGTTAAAGACTAAATGGTGAACCCTCCATGTTTTGGCTCATATAATAGCAGTACTTGATGGCATGCAGTTTGCAATCAAAGCCTCTACTGCCATTGCTGGAGCTCACAGCTGGAGGCCGAGTTCAAGAAATGTTAGAAAGATGCTTCAAAGTGTCTAATAAACAATACTGAACTGCCTATAAACTCCACAGCTTAGAAATAAAACAAGATAAATGCTCAACAAAATTCTTAGCAACCTGCTGAAAATAGAGTTAGCAGGAACATAAGTAAGGTGGAAGGGATGCTCTTCCCTACTCTAGCAGCTGTTGCAATTTTTTTTTATTCCTGCCTAGTGGAGCAAAGGGAGGAGCAAACAGGTTTTTCAGAATGCCCTCCTCAACTATAGGCAAAGTTGACACATAAAGAAAGGGTATATATTACTCTGAGCCTTTCAAAAGCCTTTTAAAATACTCTTAATTCCTAGCATCTGCAAAGAGTATGACATTTAAAAAAATGTTAGCAGTTGCATTCTGAAAAGAATTTGTCTCCACTATTTCTATCACTTTATTTTCGGCTTCTGGGACTTCCCTTAACAGCAAATTTGGAAATTGTGAAATAATAATGAACTAAAGAGAATCAACATCAACAGCTTGCTTCTCCCTATGGTAAAACTGCATTCTTTTTTAGGGTTCACATTCTTGAAGAATGCAGTGTTATAGAACCTACCAATATTTGTGATGAAGTGTAAATGTTATAATTGAAAAAGTACAATTCTGTCTATCCTTGAGAGTGCAGAAACTAAACATTTAGCAAGCAGGTAAGTGTTTGAGAAGTTCAAATGCTCAGAATAGGCCATTTCTGTACAAAGCAAGGTCACCAAGCAAGCAGATGCTCATGGTGGGTCCTTACCTGGCAAAGGCTGTCCCAGCTCCGCCTGCACTTTACCCTTCGCTGCTCCTTCCAGAGGTAAAGAACCTCTGTCCCCTTTGTAGAGTTTCGGTTTAAATGGAGAATCTTTCTCTTTACCTTTTGATCCTTTAGGTCTCCCTGCTTGCTTCTTCTTGGATTTACCATCTCCTTTTACACCCAGCAGTGGATGGACTTCTGTAAAAGTTTAGAACAGAAGTGTATTTTCATTAAAAAAATAAGAGGAAACTATTCTCCAGCATGATGAGTGGAGAATCCACTGGTGGGTTATCTCAGCCTTCTTGCTCAGTTGAGACTGTCAGAAAATTGCCACGCCTCCCGCTGGGCTGGACTGTACCCAGTTTTCGACTTAGTCTTCGCTCAGCAGGACGCATTAATTTAAGGCTCCTCTGACTTAGCTATTAGGTTGAGAACCCTGTGAAATCTCCACTCATCACTCTGAATTGGCTTTCCAAATTTAAACTTAATTTTGTTTACCTTAGTCAATTGGCATCTCCCAAATTTAATTAAAGCTGCTGCTCTATTCATTCTCTTGTTTATTTTCCAAATCTGTGTAGATCAAGGCACACAGTTGTATATAAACATTTAGGCACCTATGGTCAAATGTCAATGAACGGAACTATAGGAACAAAAACTGACACCATGGTACAAAGTCAAGTATATGTTTCTGCAAACATACCTACTTATAATTTATGTATGGGTCTTTACAGATTCAAAGTAAGTAAACAGTGAATGTGTTAGTGGCAAAACTTTGAACAGCGTCTGTAACACTTTCATTGGCTGAATTAATAGCCTCCAAACGTTTCTTGTAGTCGGCTAAGAGCTTTTTCCTTCTTGCTTTTGAATTTTTTTCAGTCAATTATCCTTGCAGGAACATTCACAAGTCTCCTTGTATGCATCGCATGTTTAAATTCTCCCCAGAGAATGTATTTATTTATTTATTTATTCAGTCTGGGGGCTTTGAAGACAACTCCAAAGCCTTTAGCTTTCTTTTCTATAAGAATTTCCCAGATGCATTAGAACTATATTTGAGATCACTGTCTTGTTGAAACATTTCACCTTCATTTTTTTACCTGATTATGAGACATTAGCTTTCAGGATATACCGTATATACTCGAGTATAAGCCGAGTTTTTCAGCCCATTTTTGGGGCTGAAAAATGCCCCCCTCGGCTTATACTCGAGTCAGCGTCTTGAAGCAGCTGCTGCTGC